TTGTCCTATGGACAGGTACACATGGCAAGGAACTGAAAGCAGTCAACAGCCTAGCAAACAACTGGTGCCTCTGGATCAATAGCATCAAGAAACTGAATCCTGCCGATAACTATGCAAACTCAGAAGTAGCTCCTTCCCCAGTTGAACCTTCAGATGAGATCCAAACCTTGGTTAATGATTTCATTGCAGCCTTCTGAGACACCCTAAAGCAAAGACCATGGCTAGGCAGTGCTCAAAATTCCTGGCCCACAGAAATGGTAGTGCAATAAATTGTATATAGTTTAAGCCACTAAGTTTGTGATAACTTGTCAGGCAATAATAGATAATTAATAGAATTCTATTGAAAGAAAAGGCTAAGTTTATTTTCTGAGGCAATAGAATAATCAATTGTAGTTTCTGTAAAGCACCAGGGATCAAATCCATATTTTGTAGGACGGTAAACTGGTGAACACTGAAAAACTAAGAGATTATTAAAATTTCAATTAAGACATTTGGCAATAAAAAAAGAAAAATGAAATTATGCATAATGGAAATTAAAACAAAAGGTTTTAAGAGAAGTTTGGGGAAATTATTTGTTTGGAAATATTTGTTTGGAAATTATTTGTTTGGAAATATTGTTTGGAAGTTTTTCTTGAGATACAAAAATTTGTACAAAAACAAAGTAGACATTGGCAGTAATGTGGGAAGAAAAAAGAATAAGCTACTAAAATCATTATGTATACACACACTTGGAAACCTCAGGGAAAATTCAGCAACTCATTAATTTCTCTATCAGTACCTCTTTTTCACTTCCCCAACACTATCTAACCAATAAATAGCACAACTCCAATGACTAGGTATCCCTGGAGAATAATAAACCATGCAGGTATCATTTTTTTAGAATATTAACATCATCAATTTGAATATTGTAACTAGAAACTTCCAGAATATTTTTTAAGATACCCTTTCATTTTACCTTCAATTTTTCTAATTTGGCTTTTTTAAAAAGTAAGTTGAATTTTTATTCAAATACTCCTTCCTTAACAGGAACACATTTTAATAGTCTAGTGGTTGTACTTGGGCTTTATTTTCCTTTAAAAGAATTTCAATTAACTACCCTATTGTTCTTCCACCTGGTAATCTGGACTCAAGCGCAGAAGAGAAAGTCAAAATATAGTTGACAACCTAGGACATAGTACATTGACTCTTGAGCAATATGATTTTGAAATACACAGGCTCACTTCACAGATATTTTTTAAACAGTAAATACTATACAATAGGCAGTTGGTTGAATCAGCAGATGCAGAACCATAGTATGTACAGAAAGAACCACACAGTATATACAGAAAGTGACTATAAATTATCTGTGGATTTTCAGCTGCATGGAGGGTGGGCACTCCTAATACCCACACTGATCAAGGGTCAACTGCTTCTCAAAAAGTCATCTTCCTTTCAATATGAGGATTTATAAGGTTTTTTAAGAGTCCACTTGTTAACAGTGTTTTAGTTCAGAGATGAAACAGGAATTCTACTCTACACAGGCTTATAAGAAATATTTAAACTATAAACAATCATCTATCCCAAACCAACCAAAAGAATCTCATTAACGTCCCAAACTATCTTAAGAAAGGAAGACGTTTTCCCCATCCCAAGCCCTCCAAAAGCAGAGCAGAGGTGCCAATGCAGAGAGAGATCCTTTCACAAGGGATTCCCAGGCATGAAGGTGGCATACTGAAGAAGATTGACATGACCTCTGTTTCAGCAGGGCCTTTATTTATGGAGGAATTGTGAAAGTGACAAGTGCAAGAAACCACATGTGTTTTATTCATCCACTATCTTGCATACTACTCAGCATAGGCATTTGAGAAATATGTCTTGGTAAATCACCAGTCAAGGATAGCAAGAGAGTAAGAGAGAGAATACGGCTGATGTAAACTCTTTACTCCCTTAAGAAACTATACATTTACACTGAGAATTATCTACATTTAATATAAGAACCTTAATGTATAAAGAGGTAACCTGCCAATACAGAGACTGAATACTATAGAAGGTCATTAAGAATCAAGAGCTTAACAGAACCAAGACAATGAGAGTGATGGTGTGGACAGGACCAGAAGTGAAAGTATTCCCACTAATGGGGCTTTATTAATTCATTGCATTACAAAGTTGGAAGAGAGATATTAGAACCACAAAATAGTAGCTTATTATATATGTGATCATGCTTATTTTACATGTGAATAGTATATATGTATTTTATATGTAACCATATACTGGAGTATGGGGTATCACTCTCAATGTATTCTTTTGTTATCATTATAAAGCCCTAAATATTTTTTTTTAAATCTTAAATATCCAGAAACTCTTCAATACTGCTGAAGAGAAGACAGCTGAGCTGAAAGGACAGAACTGAAATGGCCTTCAAGATTCTGGTGCTGCTTACAAAAGGGTGTTCAAATAAACTTGTTCCTACCTGGGATTGATCACTCTGTATACCATCCTACAGTGGATGTGGGGATCAGAGTACCGCTTGCCACATTTGCAGCCATTACCACAAGTAGATGCTCAGTAGCAGTCTAAAGCAACTGCATTGGTCAGGATTCCTGAGAGAAACAAACAATAGGAAACATTTGGCAAGTCTAAAATTTGTAGGCCAGGCCAATAGGCTAGAAACACAGGTAGAATTCCTATGCTACAGTCTTGAGACAGAATTCTTTCTCCTCTGGGAAACCTCCAGTTTTACTCTCAAGATTTTCAACTGATTAAATGAGGCTCACCCTCATTTTGGAGTGTAACCTCCTTTACTTGTGACTGAGCACAACACAGCAACTCTTTCATGTAGTCAGATATAGATGTCAATCACATCTACAGAGTACAGTCACAACAACATCTAGACTAATGACTGACCACACAAATAGGAACATAGACTAGTCAGGTTGACACATAAAATTTAACCATCACACCACCCATAAGAGGGTGGAGCTGTCAAGCTAAACCAACCCATGGAATCCTTAAATTTCTAACAACTCATTGTACTAACACATTTTTAACTCATTACAGAGTCCATTACTCTCTGAATACAGAGTGCATGTAGATGATGCTTTATAAAAACCCTGCCATCATGCATAAATGATATTCTAAAACACCATCTTCAGTTAGACCAACACAGTAAGCGGTAAAATTACAACAGCTGTACAATTTAAATGGAAGCTCTGAAATAACCTCTCTTGCATTTACTGGAAATATTTATTGTTAATTAGGGTGGAAGATGAAACTGCCTACTAAACTATCTAAAAATCTTATGAACATTATAAAAAGGTTTCTGCATTTTTCACCACGTTAAGTCAAACCATGACAGAATTTCATTCTATTGTGGTTACCATCTGAAATGGATCGATTTCCTTATAGCTGTAGGTCTAAATGCAAAGCTGTCAATTCAGATAGCTTACATGGTAATAACATTATTTCTTATTTATAGTATTCTCTCTTTCTGGACCATCTCTGTCCTAATCAATTTCTTCTTTTAAAAGGAGGGATACTGCAGCCTGATAATTCAAAGGTTTTTATATAGTAATCCCACTGCTAGTTAGTATGCTGTATGATCACTTGATTTGTTTTCTCTCAATGGGTTTATTGACCCTAGACTTACTGTTTTGCATTTATTTGTAAGTTGAATTTTCAATTATTATCTGAAAACAATAAAGAGACTACGACTACTCATGATCAGTTCGCCTTATTCTTCCAAACCTGATCAGCAGCATCTTTCACTGTTTTGAAAATATTTAGAAATGTAATGCTTCCACTACACCATTTATAAGGAGTGAGCAGTGATCAGCTTCAGGGTATTGCTGATCTGTTGGTAACATCTTGTTAACTGAGGATTGTCATCTTATCACTTCACTCTGATATACATCTGTAGTGGGCTGAATTATATCTTCCAAAAAGATATGTTTAAATTCTAATCCCTATGAATATGAGCTTATTTGAACAGAAGGTCTTCCAAATGTGATCAAGTTAAAATGAGATCTGACTGGATTAGAGTATTATTTGGACATTATTTAGGAATTAATTTCATGTAATTTGTGCTCAAGTATTTAGGTTTATATCTATATCTATATCTATATATATATATATATATATATATATATAGCTTATTAACTTTGTATTTAAAGTAAATTGATTTTATTTGGAGTGTCTGTACTTCAATTCTTGGAGATATAAAAGAATAAAATTTTACTCATAAAAACATACATATGTTATTCTGTAAAAAAAATTAAGCAGTGCTTCAGACTTAGAGAACAAACTTATGGCTGCTGGGGAAAGGATGGGGGAAAGGGATAGTTAGGGAGTTTGGGATGGACATGTACACACTGATATATTTTAAATGGATAGCCAACAAGGATCTACTTCATAACACATGGAACTCTGCTCGATGTTATGTGGCAGCCTGGATGGGACGGGTGTTTGGGAGAGAATGGATACATATATACGTATAGCTTAGTCCCTTTGCTGCTCACCTGAAACTATCACAACATTGCTAATTGGATATACCCAAATACAAAATGAGAAGTTTAAAAAAAAAAATTGAACAGTGCCTACCCAGCCATGTGGTAACTACAATCAAGGGCTTCATAAAGGTAATCAAAACTTTCATTGCAAATGACTGAATGAGCTACCCTGAAAACAAACACTGAATTTGAAAGATATTGGAGAATATGCTGTCATGTGGACACTGTTTTGTGTCAAAGATTTTTGCAACCTTCTCTAAATCAAAGAATTTACAATATAAGTTTATGTATAAACTATACAAGGTAAATGATTGGTCCTGAAACAAATCTTTAATTCCTTTTCACAGGGTATGATTAAAATCTGACCAGCTTGGCCAAAAGAATAGCCTCTGTTTTCTTTGAGTGTGATCTGGACCGTTCTTTTCTTCACTTCATGCTGCTCAGGTCCTCTGACATCTACAAAATGTCTGTTCTTGATTGCTGAGTATGCAATCCCTGCCTAGACACTTTGTTTAGTGTATTTAAATACAAAATTTTTGGCGATGAGGAAAAGGAGGATGAAGTGGAGGAGGTGGATGAAGACGACAGTGACGAAGAAGAGGATGAAGAGGACGAGGTCATCAATGAGGAAGTGAATATTGAATTTGAAGCTTATTCTATTTCAGATAATGATTATGATGGAATTAAGAAGTTAACTACAGCAGCTTTTCCTAAAAGCCCCTGTGAACACTGCAGAACTCACAGATCTCTTAATTCAGCAGAACCACATCGGGAGTGTGATTAAGCAAACGGATGTTTCATAAGACAGCGATGACGATGTGGATGAAGACGAGATTTTTGGTTTCATAAGTCTCTTAAATTTAACTGAAAGAAAGGGTACCCCATGCGCTGAGCAAATTAAGGAGTTGATTCTGCGCCTCTGTGAGAAGAATTGTGAGAAGAGCACGGTTGAGCAGCTGGACAGGCTCTTCAATGACACCGCCAGGCCTGTGGGCTTTCTGCTGAGCGAGAGGTTCATTAACGTTCCTCCACAGATTGCGCTGCCCATGCACCAGCAGCTTCAGAAAGAACTAGCAGAGGCACACAGAACTAACAAGCCATGTGGGAAGTGTCACCTCTACCTTCTGATTAGCAAGACGTTTGTGGAAGCAGGAAAAAGCGGTTCCAAAAAGAGACGGAGCAGCCAAAACAAAGAGTTAATGTTTGCAAATGCGGAAGAAGAATTCTTCTACCAGAAGGCAATCCTGAAGTTCAACTACTCAGTGCAGGAGGAGAGCGACAGTGTCTGGGAGGCCGATGGTCCTTTGATGATGTGCCAATGAAGCCCCTGCGAACTGTGATGTTAATTCCAGGTGACAAGATGAATGAAATCATGGAAAAACTGAAAAAACATCTGTCTGTCTAACCCATCTCCCACGGACCATGGTGGGCTTGCTTCTGCAGAGTTACCAGAAGACTTGGTGGAGGCTTACTGAAAAACTCATGACTTTATTCAGATGAAGGTCCTCTACAAAAAGTAGGGTTCTGTCACCCGTGTCTGCGACACATTTACAAAATATCTTTGCTTTTTTAAAATATTGGTCAAATTAGGAACAGTTGATTAAAAACTTTTCCAGTAAGAAGAAAAACATGGGGCAGTAATTTAAAGAATTCAATAAAAACTTCTGTTTTTAGTTTTGAAAAAAAAAAAAGAAAAGTAAATACAAAATTTTTGAATGATTGATTCCTATATAAAGCTTTTCTTCCTTCCCATACCACAGCTAATGCTGCCTGTGTGGTACCACAGCTTTCTATTCTCTTTATAATCAGGACATTCAGCCAACTGTCTTCTGCAGCAATCCCTGTGCAGTTGCATGAAGACAGCAGGACATTTTTAAATCCTGTGAAGGACTGTATGATTTGTTTACAATTTGTTCTTTGCTCTCTACCCCTACTATTGTTTTTCTGACACTCAGCTTGGTCACCTGACTTGCTTTGGCCAATGGAACATGGGCAGAACTGATACATGTCACTTTCAACCTGAGAGCTTAAGAGTCCTAGCAAGTTTCACCAGCCCCTGGCATTCTTGTATCCACTATGAGAAGAGGATACTCTGTGTAACCACTGGTTTCAAAGAAGACAATTTTAGACCAGATTTAAACCCAAAATGCAGCCTGGAGCCAAACTCAGCCTGTCTCAGCTAAGCCCTACCAAGTATTGCAGAGCCCATCAGAGTCCCTGGACCTTCAAACCAAGGAGTGAGAAATAGATTTTGTTGCTAGCCACTGCAATCTGGGGAGTTACACAGCATTATTCTGGAGAAGGGAATGGCTACCCACTCCAGTACTCTGGCCTGGAGAATTCCATGCACCAAGGAGCCTGGTGGGCTGCAGTCCATAGAGTTGCAAAGAGTCAGACTTGACTGAGTGACTAACACACACACGGCGTTATTACAGCAAAACTAACAACAACAAAAACTCTTATGATAGGAAGTAATAAAGTAAAGTGAAGTCGCTCAGTCATGTCCGACTCTTTGTGACCCCATGAATGGTAGCCTACCAGGCTCCTCCATCCATAGGATTTTCCAGGCAAGAGTACTGGCGTGGGTTGCCATTTCCTTCTTCAAGGGATCTTCCCAACCCAGGGATCGAACCTGGGTCTTCCACGTTGCAGGCAGACACTTTACCATCTGAGCTACCAGGGAATCCCAATGATAGGATATGATAGGAAGTCTCTTCCTAAATATGGACCAAGCTGAAAGCAGACATCCCACTACGAAGTATTATGATGAAAATATGCCAATAAAGCTACAACATTAAAACCACTGGAAGCAGTCATTCTAGAACACTGTTTAATAGCTTCTTACCTCAATTGTTTTACTCCAAATTCTGTTCTCATTCATCTACAGGACACAGATTAGGAGACTGGAACTTTACAGAGCCCATAATCTCATCATATGAGACACCAAAAAAACAGTCAACTGATAGTCTACCAGCACTCTGATAAACTAGGGAAGGAAATAATATCAAGAAACTAGAAGTGTTCAAAATTAAATGTCAGGAACAGAAATTAAACTGCTATGGTGCATACAGGGCATAGCAGTTTACTTACCTTTTAGTTCTCTCTTAACCCACAGGGTTTGGGGATATTTGTTACTTTCTCATTGCCCACTATCTATCACATTCTTGATTTCTTTGAGGATAATAAACTCCCCACCACTGGATCAGAGGTCTTATCCCCCCTTAATGAAGCTAGACAAATCAGACAATCCTTTTTAAGAATTGAAACATGATGCAAATGCTGAAAACAGCTAGACAAAATTAATTTGAGAGCTCAACCTGTACAGACATTCTGCTACCAAGACTACCTGAACCTGCCTGGTTCTTGTCTGCTCCACACCTGATGATTGGACCTTCTCTCCAAAGCTGTGTCTTCACTCTCACCCTTCCAGAAATTCCATTTTGTTGTAAATTGGTCAGGATTGGTATGTGTTGCTTGCAAACAAAGAGCCCTGAGGGCACTTAGAGGAGAAAATGGAGAAGGGAGAGGAGTGGAAGACCATCTCCAGCTAAGAAAGGACCAGGCCCATCTCAGTTTCACTGACCAATCTGTGTTTATTGATGAGACCCAAATATGAAAGCATCATGGAAAATGATCAGCCCACTGAAAGGTAAGACAGGTACAATTATCCAAACTCTCCTTCCAGAAAAAAAAAGTCAATGAATGTATGCAAGCAGTATGCAGTCATTGGTGTTTTAGGGGAAAAAAGCTTTTAAATACGATTATGTTGGCAAGCTCATCACTTGAACAGAAACCCAGCATTTTCCTCCTGAACTTCAGACCACATCATAGGTATTTGCCTAGCACCATGCAATGGCCACCTCAGATGGGGTCTTATACAGCCATGCAACTTTCCAGTGTGCAGAGGTGCACTTCTAGGAAGTCCATGAGACAACTGGACCTTTTGAGAATCCAAGAGGAAAACTTGTAAGGTCTTAATGCACAACTGGGTTGTATCTTTTAAAAACTGTACAATAAAAAAATGTTATGTTAAACTGGGTTTTTCATATATATCCATGTATCTTTAAATCATTTCTTCTCATTTTAGTTATATCATTCTGAAATTTTCATTTTCTCTAAAATGACTTAATTTTAAGTTTTAGTGAATTCAGTATCTTCATTCTCTTCATTTTATCAGTTCAGATAAGTTCTCTGTTCTAATCCTTAATTTTTCTGAATTATAGAGACCTTTCTTGGAAAAGCACTTTAAGAAACCAAGCCTGATCTACCACTTATAACCACCTTGAGTACACAGGAGAGATCACTACACCCACAGAAACCAAGTCACAGCCTGGCTGATTTTCAGGCATGCTGGTGTCCCTCCAAACCAGCTCTCTTGTCATCAATCTCTACCTGCACAAACACTGTGAGTGCATCCTTAATTTTCTTGACTAACTTATCAGCAGCCCCATTAATATTCTAAATTATCCTTTCTGGAAGACAAATTGGTTTGCTATTTGTCTTCTTTAAACATTCTCTAATCACAAAATGCGGCCTCAAGTTTCCTGTTACAAAGTCTTAGTGTATAATCTTTCTTTCATTTTCCAACCAAAATTGGGTCCTCCTCCACATGACAGCTGTGACTTTAGGTCTCTATGAGCCTACTTTTTCTTTCAAGAAGTATTTTTGGAGCTCCTACTATGTGCCAGGCAATCTCAGTGATTCCAGAGGTACAAAGTAAACAAGAGTCCTTGCTCTCCTAAAGCTGGTAATTTTAGTGGATGGAGACCAAAATTAAACAAACCATTCCATTATAGTATGGCATATTGGGATATGCTGCTGTTGTTTAGTTACTGAGTCATGTCTGACTCTTTTGTGATCCCCCCTCATTCCCCCCATGGATAGCAGCACACCAAGCTCCTCTATCCATAGGATTTCCCAGGCAAGAAAACTGGATTGGGTTGCCAGCCCCTTCTCCAGGGGATCTTTCTGACCCAGGGATCAAACCCAGGTCTCCTGTATTGCAGGTGGATTCTTTACCATCTGAGCCACCAGGGAAACCTCTCTTGATGTTGTGGAGGCCATTGAAAGAAGCAATAAAGTGCTTTGGGGACTTTTTAAACCCTTTAAGAACCCAAAGAAAATGGATGAAGAAGTTTCAAACCCCTTTTTCAGCCCTTCCCCTAAACTAGTTTTAGTAGTGGACATTCTCACCATTATAGATAATGTTTGTTTGCTTTAAAAAAATAAAAAGACAACAGGCCCCAAAATAGAGTTCATCAGGCTAAGCCCCATGTCACCAAAAGAAAGAAAAGAAAGTGAAAGTCACTCAGTTGTATCCAACTCTTTGTGACCCCATGAACTATACAGTTCATGGAATTCTCCAGGCCAGAATACTGGAGTGGGTAGCCTTTCCCTTCTCTAGGGTTCTTCCCAACCCAGGGATCGAACTCAGATCTCCCACATTGCAGGAAGATTCTTTACCAGCTGAGTCATCAAATGAAGACTAAATTACACTTATAGCTCTCATAAATGGAATCTTAAGCCAGTCAACCAGGAATCATCTGATTAACAGTTAGGCAGTGTGCCTGATACACCCGTCATTCCCTAAAGGAAAGTAATCTTGCAATAACCATCCCGCTATTTTGCTTAGTATAACTTCCTCATTTCCATTCCTTTCTCCCTATAAAAGTCTTTCATTTTATAAAGCTCTTCAGAGGTCCTTTCTAACTGCTAGATTGAACATTGCCTGATTCAAATAGATTCTTACTCAAATAAACTCTTAATATTTTTAACATGCTTCAGTTTATCTTTTAACAACAGTCATCTACCTATCATATAGATAGTCATCAGGCACACAGACTTAGGCCAATTTGACCAGGGTCCAAATTCTATCCCCTATGCTTACTAATATTAGGGTAAGAAATTTCCCCCAAGGGTTCTGCCCCAGACTGGGTATATGATTTATAAAAATTTTTGACCAAAAATTGGAACTTGTTCCAAAATCTGCTTTTATATTAACAATAAGTCCCACTTTGATTTTTAAGTAGCCCTTTATATTCTTTAAAGCACTGACCTGTACATGGTCTTATTTCATCTTCATAAACACTCCATGAAACATAAAAGGCAAATAGCAGGGCCATAGAATATGAGAAATACGGAGTTAATTGAAAATTAGCTTACAAGAAAAATGAAGGCCCCTTACCCTGAAATTCTCTAAAGTCATAAATGATCTCACTTTAAAGATAAAACCACTGAGATTCAGGGAAGTTAACAGGTGTACCAACCAATTTCACACAGTCACAGTGTGTTATTATAATCTGCTCAGCCAATGAAGAAACTG